AAAGTACGCAGTTTTTCACCCGAGCCAACCATGCATGTTCCTCACATGACCAAAAAAGACAACCAGTTGACATGTGTACTACATTCTTTTACGCTGTCAACTGCCATAGTGAAACACATCACTTCAGTTGGCCTTAGATCTGTGCAGCAATAGCTCATATATCCATACGCATTTGCTACTATATTTCCCATCTGTCTTGCTGCACCACTCTGGGGTCTGCAGTCTGTAACACAGAATGAATTCACTTATGGTCCCTCCTTGGAAGGCAGCTTTACTCCTGTGATTCCTTAAGTAATGCAGGAAAGACATAAAATAGCAAAAAGCATCAAAACTGGGAAATAGTGCCATTACTGTGCTATTACAAGCATTTTGTTTAAAAGTACTTTTTCTTTTTACAGCACAGAATTAAAACTCTGTTCATTATTGGCAACCATGAGGCTTTTTTACCTCAACGTTTTTCATTGCTTCAGATATTCTCTCTTTCAAATCTGCAGAAGAGTCATGACTGTGGTGTTTGAGATCTCTCACAACTATATCAAAGCGATTGCCCTTCAGCTGACCAAGTCTAAGGTGCTGGCATGCTGAATGTATGTTGTGTATTCTCATGCCCTTTTTTTCCATTTTGCTTCCAATTTCTTTCAACCTGCATAAATAATTGGGAGAAATTATGAACCATCCTTTCCTAAAACTATCCAACTTCTAATCAATGTCTTTACCTTTGCACTAGAATTAAAAACCTTTAAAAAAAAATAAAAAGGGATTTAAAATGGATTATTATGAGAAAACCAAACCAAATGCAGATAGAAGTCTTAAAATTTTCTTATAGTCCAGAAATACTTTCTAAATATTTGCTTCATTTGCACTTATATTCTGCAGCTCACCAGATATTGGAATGAAGCAATTCATTGAACTTTCTCAAGGCAACTGAACTGAATTTTGCATTTTTTATTGAAAAACACGGAATTTAGTCTTCAGTAATAAAAATCTGCTTTTCATTAAAAAAAAAAAAAAAAAGAAAAATAAAAAGTAATGTGCTCTAGCAGACTCCAAAACACAATTGCTCTTTCTTGGTCAGCCTTAACAAAAACAAACTCAGCGCACTGATTCTCTGGGTATGCTTGCACATGCTTGTAATTGGCAACACAGCTGACAGTTCAAGTATTTGCCCTTTAAAGTATCCACTCAATCTCTTTGTTCTTGTGTGTAAGTAAGAGTCATTCAAATCAAAGGAAACTTTCAGCATGAAAGCTTATATTCTAAGCCATATTTTAATAACTTTATAAATTAATTATTTATAAAAATTATTTATTTTCCCTGTTATGCTAGTGGCTCGGAAGCATTTAACTATTTTGCTTAATCATTTAAACATTAATGCAGTTTTGCTAATCATCTCTTGCACAACTGGCCTTGCAGCCCAGTTTGCAGTGGAATTTTACTATTGATATATATTTTTGTTAGTAATAAATACTAAAAACATAAATTCTACTTTCCTTTATTTGCAAAGCGTACTTTGTTGCTATGACCAAAAACCATTAGGAAGTTAAAGCTGAGGAAGAAGTAAGTTATGGTTTTGACTCCAGCATTTTTACTGTTACTATGGCAGAACTTAATATATATTTTTTACCCACTGAGCTGGCTACAGAGAGTAACAAAAACAAGGAATGGAAAGGCACATCTTGTATTATTGACACGTTATTCAGAATGTATTTTCTGCCCTCGGGTTTGGTGATACCTTCTTTACTTAGTCTCATGTTTCTAAACGGGACAATACAATGGAAGTTGATACTTAACACTCAAAGACAGCATCTGTCCAAAGTATATTTTTAATGATTTACTTTAGTTTTGTAGCCGTATAAAGCTTTTAAGCTGTTGTCTGTGGACCACAAGACAATACTTTGATAGTATGTGGAAAGCTGTTGCGTCATGTAGTATATAGGCTTCTTCTCGGTTCCAGCTGGTGGATGGTATTTAAGAAATTGTAAAGCGGATCCCATGAGCATGAATTGGAAGGATGCTGTCCCAGAAGATACAGTATATTCGTATTATGAAAAATACAGAGAAAGGCGAGACTTTCCTTTAAATTCCAACACTGGGGGACTTCAGCGCTAAGCTGTATATTCCCTAAAGCCACAAAATATGGCCACAGCCATTTCCACTGTGCTGTAATACAGGAGAAGGGAAGACTACAGCCATTTAAACTGTGCTGTAATACAGGAGAAGGGAAGACACATCAATAAGAACATTTCAGAAGATCATACCACGTTGATACTTATTAACACACACAAATATGTGCTAAACTTAATGCACCCAGATTGTTAGTACCTCTCAGGAGTCACCTTCTTCACGACCATAGGTTGGTAAGTAATAGCCTTCTTATCTTTGATGCCAGTGTAACTGAAGTCTGAAGGAAGAACACCAAGTTCAGCAGCCAAGAAGCCGATTGCTTCTAGTGTTTCTAGATTTTCTTTCTGAAGGGTGAAAGCTGAAACAATCATCTCAGAATTATTAGGAATTTGCACTTCTAAATCATACAGGTGTTCTGCCACGACAGATGGGCAGGTTCTTCCCTTCAAACTGTAATAGCATGGGAACTGCAAAGATACAGTCCTCCCACCCCACAAAACTAAAGGAAATGGGACTTCTTCAGTATTGAAAGAGAAAAATAAAGACACAGTAAACAAAACTCTTGGAACAACCAGAAACCCCTGCTGCCTTTAAAAATAGTACCTGATAAAATGCAACACAATTCAATGAACATGTACTGACTTATTGCTAGAAACATTCTCTATATCAGAAACCAACTGCTTTAAGGAATGAGATCATAAATCAAATTTGACCTTACTAACTTGTCCAACATCTAGATGCACCTTCTAAAATCCCCCAATTACTTTCAAGGGAAAGCTAGCACACAAGGAATAACACAGAGTTAGTGCTACAGCCAAAAGAACTGAAACCATTATCACTGAACAGTTTATGTAAAATCACTGCAGTAACTTGATTCATCCATCTCATTCTCCAGCGATGTAACTACACTGCATTAATAATGATTTACTTCAGCATAAACAATGGGTCAACCAGGCCTATACATCACATAAAAATGATTCGGAGTCTCAGTCTTACTAAAGAACACCGTAACACCTGACACTTTCACTAAAAGTGTAATATTTACCTGTATAAAGATCTTGTTTTTCCTGGAAACCACCAGCAGACCTTTTTCTGGACCAACTTTTTCCTCGAAATCGTACCATTATTGACATATTTGGCTGATCATTGACATCTGTCACAGTGAAAGACTTTGTTTCTAAAACTTTCCCAAATTTTCTATTGATAAAGTGGTGAACTACTTTTCTGTGCTCTTTGTTTCCATCAGGCTCAAAAGAAAATGTAGAATTTTCTAGCTTTGCATCTAAAAATTTAAAGAAATCACTTGTTTCCTTTTCAGTCACTAACTGACAAAGTTCTCTGTAATCAGCATTTCCTTTTACAATCACTTCATTGTCTTTTGTAACAGTGACTAGAAAGGGGAATTTCTGCCTAATAGCACCGTGTAAATCAGCTCGATTTTTCTTGTCCAGTATAGGTCCCAGCGAGAACTCCCCAGTGATAGAATCGGCATTATTTTCCAAGTCCCACGCATCCTTCAGATCACAAGCAAATTTATTAAGCAGTTCACTCATGGGTTTGCCTAGTAAGGAATCCAATATACTGGCCTCCTCGAGGCCAGATTTCAGTTCAGGTTCACCCTCGCGCTGGGTTTTGTTAGGGGATGCAGAACAGTCGCCTCCTGCCCAACTCGGGTCACGCTCCGAAGGACTGGGCGCACCACCACCACAGCCCTCGGCACACGGATCAGGAGGCTCCGTTCTCAGCTTTTTGGGTTGCTGCAGGCCCGGGCTACTTTGTTGCAGCGGCGCTTCGCTGGTTTTCTGAAGCGATTCAGCCCGGGTATCCCTAAGGAAGTGTTTGGGCATCTCGATTTCCGTCACCACGAAGTCACTCGGTGAGTTTTTGATAGTACCAAACAAGCCAGTGTGATCAGTC